TTTTATTTTTTTTGTGGAACCGGGGATTGAACTTAGACCCATGCGCTTGCCAGGGAAGCGCTTATTCCACTGAGCCATCTCCCCGGCCCCTTAATTTTTATTTTTACCATACATCTGTACACATCTGTGGTTCTTGAAATGCTTTGCCACATTTTAAATTCTATATAACTTTCTCCTTTTTTGTTTTTCTTAAATCTGTTCCTTTCTTTAAGCTCATTTTTTATGTAATTTTTAAGGTCAGTAGACCCCTGTGCCTCATGCTTTTTACCTGATAGTTGTCAATTTAACACTCCAGTGCTAACTATTGACTCACCAGTTGATTCCCCCACCAGTCGATTCCCTGTTGCCAGCAAAATTCTGGGGACCGTTGTCCCTCCTATCAAAATCCCCTTACTGGGAGCCCCTGTTGCAGGGCCATATGTAGGAATGTGTTGATCTCTCAGTGGTCCCTGGGAGAAAGTGGTGAGAGGATAAAAAATAAAGACAAGAGATGATAGTGAGGTCAGGTGGCAGCCCGTGCCTGATAGGTAAAGGACCCCTGAACAATAAACAGTAAGGGCTTTTATTTATAGCTTTGCAAAGTTACAAGACACAAGGTTGCCTAGTGAGTAATAGCCCACAGTGCCCAGGCAGGATGTTTTTCTCAAGACTGAGGTGGCTTGACTGCTTTAGGCAATGAGGCCTCATCCTTGCCTCCCTCATAGGATCAATTTCCAGCTTCAGCAGCTCCCAACAACCACTTGGCAAGGTTTTGTGAAGAGTTTAAGTTCCTGCCTGCGAAGCCCTTAGAACAAGTCCATTACCTAGAAAGCACTCAGTAAATAGCAGCTGTTTTTAGTAGCCACCTCATGTTTACCAGCAGCCCCCTCAGGACACTCTTGGCCTCTCCACTTGCTGGACGTCATCTTCATTTCCTATATGAGTCTTGTTGGCAGAGATTGCTTTGCAGACTGCTGGGGAGACCAGAAAGCCAGTCTGCAGGTGCCCTCTGGTGCCGAGAGTGGCTCCCCAGGCCCCTGCAGTCTTTGCCTGTTTTTCTTAACTTGCCTCTTTCCATAGGACGTTCACTGTGAGCAGAGCCTTGGAAAAGGCACTTCTCCAGCACTTCATAGTCCAAAAGCTTGAGATTGCCTATGCCATAAGCAAGCCATTTCCCTTCTTGGAATTGCTCCGAGACAAGGCCTTCATCAGTGAGCAGATGTACTGGGTGAGTCACGTCAGCCTGACCCATGCAGTGGGCTGGGCTATGGAGATCTCAAGCCACCACCCACAAGGGCTTCTGGAGGTGGCGGTACCACACTTAGATATGTTCATTGTAGAGTGAGGAGTGCCATTGTAGGTGCTATATTGGTTTTGGGGTGTCATGGGGGTGACCATGGCATGTGAACACAAAGCAGGTGGCTTGAAAGAACAGCAATGTATTGTCTCTAGGTTCTGGAGGTCAGAGGACCAAAACCAAGGTGTTGAAAGCATTGGTTCCTTCTAGAAGCTTGGAGAAGTGTTTACCTTCTGGCAGTGGCTGACAGCACTCGGTGGTCCTTGACTGCATCAGTCTAGTGTCTGTTTCCCTCTCTCATCTCCTTCTGCCTTTTGTGTCCTTTCCATTTTTCTTTTCTTAATAAGGTCACCTGCATGGAGGCCCCACCCTAGCCCACGATGATCTCCTCACGAGATCAGTAACCCAGTGACATCTGCAAAGATCTTTCTTCAAATAACCCAGATTCACGGTTCTGGGTGGATAGATGGATGTATCTCATCTTGCGAGGAAGAGGTGGCCTCCAGCTCCTGCAGGCATCTCCCCACTCTCTCTGAGCGCTTATTGCTCTCAGTTCCTTCAGATGTGAGGCGGGCAGGTACTACAAGGTACAGTACAGCAATTTGGACAAAGTGGTGCTCTTTGCATATAATTTTGAGACAAGTTTCATATTGTTGTACATTGGTTTTTTAAAAGTATTTTTGAGCTCCAGGGCCAGAAAAGTGGCAACGGTGGTAGAACAATCTTCTTCCACTCCTTATCTGACTATCTCTAACTCCTTCAGATTACAGTCTGGATGGTTCTCTTCAGAGGGGTCTCCTTGACCCACTCTTCTCAATAAGACTCACTCTCCCCTTTCTCCTCTCCTCCTCCCCTCTCTTCTCTCCCCTCCCCTCTCTCTTCTCCCTTCTCCCCTCTTCCTTCTCCCTTCTCCCCTCTCCTCTCTCCTCTCTCTCTCTGCAGTCTGTGCTTTCCTTTGATGATACTACTCTCAGTTGTAACTGAATGTTTAGTTCACTTCTGTTTATTATTCAGTGTCCATCCAAATGGGCAGCCCCATCCTGATCATGGGCCCTGCCATTCACAGTCTCCCTTTGGCTGGAACTCATTTGGGCGGGGAAGAGAGCAAGCATGCAAAAACTAGCAAGTGCACAGAATTGCCACATGTGAGTGCTTCTTAAAGCCCCTTCTGGAGCTTCGTGATGGAGCCTTAAAGAAGGATCCAGCAGCATCTTTTCATTCTACTTTGATTCCTTAAAATTTCTCTTCCCTCAAATGTACCAAAAAGTGAGATTCACAAAGCAGACTTATTTTCAGGAAGGCTGAATGATTTATTCCTGTGGGTAGGCAGCAAATGTATGGGAAGTAAACATGTGGACTGTGGTCTCTCTACCTTAGAGGACTTGACTATGTTTTATGTTAAATTTCTCCTTGAAAAAAGTTAACTAGCTTTCTTATGACTTAGAAAACACAAGTGTATTATAACTCTCCACCAGTTCTATAGCCATTCCTGCTAATCGTATCCTTCTTTTTTTCTAAAGGACTCTCTGGAAGCTTGTAGAAATTTAGTTCCTGTATGCAGAGTGGTGCACAACATTCTCACCAGACTGGAGAAGACTTTTAACCTGTCGCTTCTGGTGACACTGTTCAGCCAGATTAGCCTATGTGAATACCCTAATCTGAGGACAATTCTCAGAAGCTTCATAAATGGTAATGCAGTTGCTCGAATGGCTTTTGCACATAGAATAGGTTGCTGTGCTACACGTCTGGGTTTGTTTCCAGCTTGGGTTGTGCGCTTCAATCCTGCTTTCCTTCTGAAAAGGTACAGACCACACCCACCCACCGGCCAGGCTGGAGGGGCAGCCCCTGCTAACTCTTACCCTCATGCTCTGAGAGGAATTTCTAAAAGATACAGACATCTCTGTCTTACCTGTTCTGTGAAATTGAAGGCAAGTGTAACATTTAACATACTGGACAAACTAGGTGCTGCGCACAATGACAGAGATGCGAAGTTACAAAGACCAGCTCTGGCGGAGGACAAGGAGACTGAGAGGAGAGAGAGAGAGAGACAGAGAGAGAGAGAGAGAGAGAGAGAGAGAGAGAGAGAGGAGAATGCAATACATGCCTTTTTGTTTGTAATTGTTAATACTTTATCCCACCATTTTTATATGATTATCTCATGTGAATTTTAAAATAGCAGTGTGAAGTCATTACTAGCTGTATTGGACAGGTAAAGAAATTAAACTATGAAGGTGACTTTCTCCAAGTTATTTGTGTACATAGAGGCAGAACTCATAGAGTCCTGTTTGGTTCTGCGAATACTTGGGCCCAAGATTGTAACTACTGTTCTAAACAAAGCCAGCAGGAAGGCAGATGTTAAGGCTAGAGGAGGAAAGAAAGACAGTAAAAAGGAAGACAAGGAATAATGAACATAGATATAGAAAGGAAAGATAGGAGGAAAAAATACAGAATAAGAAGTCCACTAGGAAAGAAGGGCTGGTAGGCCAACTTTCTGTCACTATAACAAAATGCCTGAGTTAATACCTTGTAAAGAGCAAAGCGTTGCTCAGGGTCACAATTTTGGAGGTTTCAGTGCACAACTGGTTGGCCGCAGAGTGTTGGGCATCTAGTGAGGCAGCACATCATTGTGGAGGTGTGTGAGCCCCACCGAATGCTCCAAACAAGTAAGTAAAGTAGACAGGAGCCATGGACACTGATGAGGATGAATGGGTTCTATGGGAACAACAGGAACTCCGTGTCCCCAGCATGGATGGAAGTTCTGTATTAAGAACCCCAGCTCATTCAAGGTCTACAAGGTGCTGATGTGTGCTCCTTCACTCTCCCTAGTCGGCACCGCCTATGGAGAGTGGAGCAGAACCACGCTGATCCCACTCAAAGTTCTTGCTGACCCAGAAGAGAGCTCCTTCCAGATCCTGCGGCAGCTGCCCCCACCGCAGCTGCCTTCACCAAGTCATCTGTCCTGTGCGCCTGCGGTCAATGAGGCCAAAGCATCCTTGCAGCACATCAGTGAGAGCCTAGACAGACCACCCAGCCCTTCCACTCCTGCTGGGCCACTTCCTGGACTCATCCTGGGAGAAGGAAGTACTCCAGGTGAGAAGCAGAGCCTGTCCAGCACCCATGTGTCCCTGGCAAGGAGGCGCCTAGAACCCCAGGTCCTGCATCCCTGACCTGGCCCTTTGCTGCCCCCACCTCCCCATGCATAGCACTTTTCAAGAAGGCTCTTGAGCACTCCTGGGAGCCCAGCCCACTTCCCACTTGTGGGCCATCCCAGCCCTCTGTCCTGGGGCCTGAGTGCTCCACTTGCAATCGGCATTTTGACCCTTCACTCTGCCCCCTGAAACCCAGGTCCTGCAACCTATCCTGATCTCTCTTTCTCCTTTAGTGGCCAATGACAATGTCATATCTAAAACAAAGAAGGAAGAAGATTCACAAGAGACATGCAGCCTTTCCACTGGCACAGTGCAAGGTAACATGGACTGGGACTCAAGGTGGTTAGGAAAGGAAAACCTTCACCTACCACCCGAGAGGTTGTAGTACGAACCTCCAGGCAAAGAACTGGGTGTGAAAGAGAAAGGAAATGAAATGGGCAATTCACAAGTGTACCATGAAAAACAAGCCAACCATCCAAACTCCCTTGTGAATTGACAGGTGACATCTGCCCTGACAGCCCCTGTGTGGCTCCTTGCCACACCTGAGTGTGGGGCCTTCAGCTCCCAGCCTTATTCATCCTTAGATGGGTGAGACTGGAAGAGCAATATCATCAAAACAATTTTTAAAAGATTACAAAATATTTGAAGGCCTGCTATCTCTTAACACTGTGTCAAGTGTTCTCCTCAAATCATCGTTAGAAGGGAGTATGCTTACACTAAACATAACAGGGGTATGCTATTGGGCATGGATGAAAATGCTATTGTGGGTTCTGACCTCCTGGGAACTTGATTTCAATAATATTTCCACCATTCCTCTAATGCATCTCACCCAAATAAGGTTATCATGACCAGGGAGCTGACAGCAATGGAAGATTCCATCTTCTAGATTTCAGAAGAAAAAATAGACACTACATTAAATTAATAAGAGTAAGCATAAAGAATTTTTCACTTTCCCAGTCTCTTCTGACCAAGCCTGGGCCTACAGTTGCCTACCTGTCATTTTTACCAGTTGGAATTCTGTGTTTTCTTCCCCACTTGGAGCTCCACTTTCTGTTCCTCGATTCTGTGATTCTTTTTCTTCCACTGCTCAGTGCCCCCCCCCCCCATGACCTGATGTCCCAATAAAGAAGCCTCTCAAGAGTCTTCCTGTGCTCTTGATTTGCATGACTTAAGCTTGGCTTTGTTTTCTTGTCTACCAAGAGCCGAAGCCCTTTGGATCTTCTTGGAGTGGGATTCTCTTCCCTGCTCCCCTCCTCCCTCTTGCCCCAGTTCCAGTTGCTCACCCAGCATTTGGGAGCATGGACAGGCAGGAGGCCCAAGATCCTAGTGGAGGCAGAGTCTCAGGAGAGGGCAAGGAGGCAAGTCTGGAATAAGCAGACTGGGAGGAAACCATTGTTTGTGAAGGTCAGAAGCCCCTAGTGCCTGCTGCACTTGGACTCTAATCCTTCAGATGTTTGCAAAGGGAGAATATCTGCCTGGCACAGGGACTGTGGTGAGAACCCCAAGGGGAAAGGACAGGTGACAGAGGGAAGGTGGACTTAGCTCATTGTTTTCACCCCTTCCTGAAGCAGTTCTGGAGTCCTCTTTTGGGAGTGTCTTCAGTTATGCTGTCATGGCTGCCTCGATGTCCTGTATTATGGTTTGTGTCTAGTTGTCCCCCCCAAAGCCTCATGTAAGTTATGGGACAGATGCTGCTGGAGGAGCAAGGGTGGCTAGAGGGGCGGGCCCGGAAAAGCATGAACCATTAAACTGGCTATAGCCTGTGCTTTCTCAGAGAGGTGGAGAGAGTCATCCTGGACACAGCACACCCCAGCCTCTCCTCCTGTGTCTTGAAACCTCTAGTACTGTGAGCTAAATAAACCCTTCCTTGCCTCATTTTGAGTGTTGAGTATTTGTGCCAGCAGCGAGAGAAAAGTAACTAATACAGAATCCTGCATCAATTCAAAATGTTTAGTTTTCATGGTCACTTTGGCTTTGGGGAAGAACCAGAGATCACGTGGCTGGTACCAAATCTGATTAATAAGGTGGAGGAGGCCACCCCAGAATGCTTTAGGGGCCTGCCTTTCCCTTGAGTGGCACTACGCAACAGCAGTGTCATTTTTGGCCACACCTCATAAAGATACCAACAGTGAACTTCCAGAACTGCTTCAGAAAGTGGCAGCCATGCTCTAAGTGTGCTCCAAGTGGCGGAAGGTTCTTGAGAGGGATTCCTGGTGATATGCCTTTTACTGTAATCATTGTTTAAATTTAAACATTCAGCATCGTTTTCTTTTTTATTTATTTTTATTTTATTGAGAAAAAATAGCAATGAGATAGTTTCAAAACCAATTAATAAGACCAATTAATAGACCAATTAATAAGTTTCAATAATTAATACATTACATATTGTTGTCTTTGTAGTGGTTATTCATCGTACAAGATGCAGACATGATATCCTATCCAAACACTATTAGTACAAATCTTTCTTCTCATTGAATTAAGAGAAAGTAGCTGTATATCTATCCTAACTATTTTGTGTATGCAGATACAAAATGGTTCTTCATTTGTATCCCCTTTCTTTGTTTAGTTTTGTCAGAGATGAGTATTCCATTGCCATTCAAACATCATCATTTTCAATCACACCTCATATTTCCTTTATCAGTAATAAAAGATGCTTCTTCAGAACCCAATGACCAAGAAGAGCCCCAAGAAGCACCCAGCACATCTCAGAAAAAGAAAGGTAAGAATTTCTTTACCGCTGGAGATGTCAATAGGGTGAATTCAGAGCTGCTTTTTGTTGTTCTGGTCTTATCTTGTCATGAACACCCACTGGGTGACTCTACTTGTGATAGCCAGCCTGGTGTATTTCTGCAATCCACATTCATTACACCTTCCTTGAAGACCTTTATGAAAATAACAGGAAGGCATTTTGTTGCCTGTTCTGAAATCATCAGGATCTGACACCCACCGCTTCTTAGAATGTCAGTGGCATTCTACCATTAGCTGAAAGCTGCTTCCTCGAGAAGGTCCCACTTCCTCATAAGACATGGCCAGGTGTTCACAGCCATCCATCACTCACACCCATGGTGGGAGCAGGCGGGGTATGCGCCCCCTGCTACTCGCTAGCCCATCCAGTCCCTTGGTTCTCCATCCTCTGCTACCCAACTATTCAATTAAAAGTCTCCTTTCCTTCAACACCACCACCCTTTGGCTTCCCCATCACTCCCTGGCAGACCCCAGGGTGGTTTGTCTGTATGCTCGGGCCCTGCAAAAATCCGGCTGCCTTCAGGTACACACAGACAATAGACAATCCATTTGCTGATTTCCAGTGACTTTGCCCTCCACAAATGCTTGGCTTCTGGTGCCCAAAGGAACCCATGGGAGCTACCGTCCTGCAAAGAAGCTCAATTTCCCAATAACTAACTTAGAGATTCCTGTAATTATCCTTGAGGACTGTTCCTCCTACAGCTGTCATTCAACTTCAGATCTCTCCTCAGCGTAATCTTTTTAAAAGAATTAAATACACCTCCCTATTTCCTTCCTCATGGTTTATTCTCTCTGCAGCTGTCTGCCAGCTCACCTAGATCAACATTCCACTGGCTTTTCCCTCTTCCAAGCCTTCCTCTGCCTTTCTTCACCCCCTTTCTTACCACCCTGGATCCTCAGGCCATTGTCTCTGACCTCATGCCATCCTCTTAACCTTCCAACAATAAGCAGAAACACTGAAACGACACCCAGGATTTGGGAACGGATCTATTTCATGTCTGTGGGTACTGATTGGAATCGTTCCCAGAATATCAGGCCCTGATCTTCAGCGGTCTAAGGCTTCTATGGGATAAGCAGGTAGGACCTATGGAGGCAGATTGGCTTGTCCATGGGGATCAGTTTATACAGTGTGCATTGTAGTGGTTAACTGCATCACAGTTATCAGCTCTTTGTAAGAGACAGAACCAACTGGAACTGGGTAGAAACTGTTACCTGGGAAGCTAAGAAACTGAAGTATACTGGTAGGGTGGGGTCTTCCTTCTCCATCTTTTCCTGAAACTCTCGCAGGTCTTGAAGGGAACCTCCTTACCTGCTTTCTGCATGCTGCATCTGAATCGTGGGCACAGCTAGGGGACACACAGTGGACGGTGCACCTGCTGAGTCTCCCTGATGGGTGTGAAAATGATTCTGTCACACTGTGTGCCAATTCCATTTTTTGGGGCAGGGGAGATGGCTCAGTAGAATGAGCACTTGCCTGGCAAGTGCAGGATCCCGAGTTCAATCCCCAGTACTGAAAAAAAAAAAAAGAAAGAAAGAAAGAAAAAGAAAAAATTCCACTTTTTGCAATGACCCTTTGAAACCTTGAACTCTACTTGTAAAATCTGTTTATCACTCAAGAGATGGAACCATGAGAGGGATTCATGGTGATGTGCTTTTTACTGTAATAATTGTTTAAATTTATGCTTCATATTAAGGGATCAGAGGATAATCTTCTGATGTCTCCATAGTAGTGCAACAAGCCCTACCTGCACCTGCCTCTTTCATGCTTGTCTGTCTGTCTGTCTCTGTCACACAGACACACACAGACACACAGACACACACACACAGACACACAGACACACAGACACACACATACCCCTTCTGTCCCTGCCTGCCACTGTAGAGGACAAAAGAAACACCTTCCTCTTACTCCATAAAGCAGCTGTGCCTCAGGTCACCAGTGACTTCCTGCATGTTGTGGTCCAAAAACTAAGAGGGAAAGCTGAATGCTGGTGACCAGTAAGATGGTTACATCTATTGGTGACTAAGAAAAATTATTTTTTTTTCTTCAGGAAAGAAAAGGAGGACGTGTATCTGGTCAACTCCAAGGAAAAATAGGAAAAAACATCCCCCAAGAGGTACAGTGAGCCCACACAAGGCAGCTGGAAGTGGGGAGCACCCATGCTGGGCTTAGTAATGAAGGAGCAGAGGGAGGAGGGGTGGATTTTATTCCAAATGCAGTGAGAAGTCAGAAACCTGAGCTTTTAAGTGATGGGACTTGATTTTAGATCTTGCTGCTGTGTAAAGAATAAACTAGAGATGGACAAGGGTTTTTCTGTTCAGATATCAGGTTACATTTCCCGGGGAGGTGATGGTGAGCCATAGATTTTGTTTATATACTAGAGGGACAGCCCTCTCCTCCTTAGTTTTTTTTTTTTTTTTGTACTCCAGTTGTTGGGGTTTTTTTCCTGATATTTTGTGACTAGCTAAGAATTCAGTCCAAGGATAACCATTTGTACTTCTCAGGAGAGAAGGGAAGTTTTATTCCTTTGAGTCACAGCAGTTAAGCAGACAAATAGCTACAATTCCAATTCTTATGGTATGTGAAGAGTAAAATGTGTCTAGAATTGAAGTGAACTTTCTCTCTTTATAAAATACACATTTCTGTGTCTCTGGAGGCTGAGGATTTGCACAGGAGTGCTGGGTAATCAGGAAAAGTTCATTTCCCCACCATGCATCAGTGTGGCACTCAATGAGAAATTTGGTCCTTAGCTAAAAACATGGGAATCATCAATAAATGAAGGCATGCAGATCCATGGGAGAAGAGAGACAAGGACCTAGTACTGCTGTCAGCAATCCCAAAAGCAGAGTCCAGCAGCAGACAGAGGAAGAGAGTGGGGGGAAGCAGCACCAGGAGGGAACCCACCAGTAGGCCAGGAGACATGAAGATGAGCTCAGAGAGTCACAAGGTGTCAACTGGAAAACTTACCAGCTCTTGGTGGTGAATGTTTTACGTGTAGCCAAGACGATTCCTTTTCACGCACTATAACACAGGCAAGCCTCGCATGTCCAACCCACAGGGCCGCAGTTGGACGCTCCTGGTGGCGATGGACACAGGCCATTTGGAATGTGTTGACTAATGCGTGGACAGAGGTAGCACATGATGTAGTAGCCGTGAAGGAGGGCAGCGCGACAGGGGACAGCCTGAGGCTTGACGCGCCTCTCTCCTGACTGAATTTACCCCTATTGTGATGCCAGTGTGCAACATCATGGGTTTGGTGCCCTTGTGAGTAATCTATCAAAATCATTTAGTTCTTTGTCTTTTTACCAAAAGTAAGAGGCCTTTCTGAGCAGGGAAGCGAGACGATGGTGTCTGCTCACGTTGTGTGTACACTCTGGTGGCATGCTGTGCTACTCTCGGTGCTCAGCTCACACTCCCTGAGCTTCATGCACCGCGCTCCTGGCTCCCTTTACCCCCTCCACGCTGATGGCTCCCACATCTGCCCTGCCACCTCAGACTTGCCTCCAAGAAGCATCTCAGTCAGCTGCTTACTGCTCATCTTGATTTGAAAACTTCCCATTGCTATTCTGTTTTTCTTTAATTTAAATAGTAGCTCTTTGTTTTTAATTAATTTTGTTGAGAAAGAAATAGCAATGAGACAGTTTCAAAACAGGTTAGTAGGACAATTCAATAATTAATACATTGTATATTGTCTTCATAGTAGTTATTCAGAGTACAAGATGCAGACATGGTATCTTGTCTAAACACTATTAGTATAAATCTCATTGAACTAAGAGAAAGTAGCTGTATATCTATCCTATTTTGTATATATATATATATTTTTTTTTTTCACCACAAAATGGACCTTCATTTATATCCCCCTTTTTGGTTTAGTTTTGTCTGAGATGGGTATTCTATTGCCATTCAAATATTGTAGGTGTGTGAATTCAGCAAAATAATCCAATATAGTCCAGTAGTCCATAACGGTAGTAGGTTATCTGAGGAACCGGCAATGTCAGAAGTTGTTGACTTGAGCCTTTTACAGCTCAGCATACTAATATGGCTTTACTTTTTATTCCTCGTGTTTATACTTTTCTGCTGGATGGTTATTCTAGTCTCCATGAGTCTGTATCATCACAATGGTGACCTGGACGCTGGGTGGGAGCCGCTTTGGATTGGATGGTCCAGGAAGAGGGGCTCAAACGTGCAAAGAAGCCATTTAACAATAACTCATTCTCTTTATCTCCATCTAACAGGAGTATTGAGAGTCATGCTTTTTTATATTTAATTAAGTGTCCTTGTTAAAAATACTAAAACACTTTAAAAGGTGTTATAAAATTTAAAGAGGGGAGACAAGCTAAAAATACGTCCATATTCCATGTTATAAAAAGCAAAGCAGTACTCTATTTTTCTCTTAAGAGATCTGATTTTATTTTCTTGGAAGTCTTCTTTTTCTTATGGAGAAAAAGAAAAGATAACTTGTCAAGCAAAGGCAAGTTTTAAACCCTTTCAGATTACTCAATTTGCTTTAGATAGACACTCAGTGCCTTCCACATTTGCCAGGCCTGGCCCCGCTTTTCAGGTGCTAGGCCACACCCACTTCCTCCAGAGGCAGCCTCAGCGTGGGAGGTCCCCTGTCCACCTGCTGACAGGAAGGGTGGCTGTGCCTGGGTAGGTCCTGGCTGATCTGCAGACACACAGACATTCTTGTGCTCCTAGCCAGTGGTCAGTCCTTTCTGAAGTCACAGCCAGTAGGAGCTGTGTTCTCTTTCTACAATAAATAGACTCCCCCCTGGGACCGCCTGCATTGCAGTTCCTTAGTCCCAGCCACACCCTTCACAGACCTTCAGAGTAGCCACCATCAGGGCAGGGCTTTGCCCCTCAGTTCTTGCACTCCTTGCACTGTACCCCCTGGAGGTGCCTACACAGGAGCCTTTGAATACCTTCCTGTCACACATAGGCCCCGAGGGAGTCAGAAGGGGTATTTATAATGCTCTGCCTTTCCACCTGAAGCCATGCGCAGTCATCTACTCAGATGTGGCCACCACCTGGAGCTGGGTCACACAAACAGGAAGCAGGAAATAAGCCCCACTGCGCTAAGAGTCCTCTAAGTGTGTCTGGTGCCTGGAGTGAGAGCCGACGGTGATTTTGGGGGAGAAAGAAAGGTGCACACAAGAAAACGAAATAGAACGAAATGAGGTGTAGAGTGCAGGGACCTGAAAGAGAGAGGGCTGGGCCAGGGAAGGGAAGTTGCTAATGAGTGGAAAAAGAGGCTCGCTGGGGACTACAGCTCAACTATTCACAAGTCACTGGGGACTATAACTTAACTATTCACAAGTCACTGCTTGGTCCAGGGGCAACCCCACCTGGGCACAGAGTCCAGGAGAAGCTCCAAGTGGTGGCAAAGAGGAAAGACAAACCAGCCCGCAACTCCAAGCTGGTCTCAAGGGTCTACAACACGAGGGCAAAGCGTGCCCAGATGTCCAAATCCGAGGGTAAGGCTGGCAGTGGAATCTGCCTGGGAAGGGCTCAGCTGGGTGGGAGGGTCCCTCAGGAGTGGCAGAGGGGTAGGCAGGCATGTGACGTCACTGGTAGAAGAGCAGGGAAGACAGGAGTATGGGGTGTGATGGGAGGGACAATGAGAGTCAGGATTGATTACAGTTGAGTTTTGGTTGGAGCAGCTGGGCTTTTCATGGGACAGCTCATCCCAGAGGTGACCTAAGACAGCAGCTCTCAGATTTTTTGGTTTCCTGATGCCTTTATATTGTTAAAAATTATTGAGCACTCCCAAAGAACTTTTATTTGTTCATGTCTGTCTGTACCTTATTAAAAATGAAAGCTAATGTTTTAAATATTAAGTTATTTGCAAGCAACCACAAATTACCTATTAGCACAAATATTTTATGAGAAATATATTTTTAAAAAATGAAAGAGTGATACCATTTTGTATCTTTGCAATCTCAGTAATGTCTAGTTTCATAAAAGACAACTAGATAATCCTATAGTTGCTTCTGCATTCAAATCAGTTGTGATATGGTGTTTTGATTGAAAAATGTGAAAAAAAATTCAGCTTTACACAGGTGTGTAGTTGAAAGGGGTAGACTAAGTCCTGGGATATCTGGGGATTCGTCTGTGATACTAATCAAAACAGGAGAAGTGGTCATTTCTTAAGGGTTCGTTGTAGCCTAGAATCTAAACCCAGTCAGTGAAATTTTCATACCAACTAGAATGGTGAATACCTTTTAATTAAATTCAAATTATAGTTGTTCTGTTGTCAGGTATGGATCCCATATGCCTGTAATCCCACTATTCAGGAAGGTGAGGCAGGAGGATTGTCATGGGTTTGAGGCCAGCCGGTGCTACATACTGAACTGAAGGCCCGCCTGAACTACATAGTGAGGCCCTATCTCAAAAAAAAAAAAAAAAAAAAGAGAAAAAAACGG